CATAAAGACATAATGATAAAAGAATTTGTGGTATGGATATGATACCTTTGCTTATTCTGATAAATTTAGTCTGATTGTTACACGTGACATCATTTTTAGCATTTGAAGTAGAAGGCATACATATTTGTGCCTTCTTTTTGTATAAGTTGGTTTGCCACATTTTTTCTTTTCATTAGAGTTAGCGTTGGTACCAACTGACGTGTATTTATTATAAGAGGTTGCGGCATAATTAATATTCGAGTGTGTAGTATATGAATAAGGAAAGGTAAACGGAAAAAAGAAGTCAGAAAAATGTATAACTATATGTATTAATAAAATATATAATAACCTACATGAATGATGAAGCAACTCAATATTAATAGATGAACACTCAACTTGAACAATATTGCTACCTGAAGGTTCAACGAAATCTTCATTCAAGTCAAAAAGTGGAATGTCTTTTGTATTAAACTGTTTCCGTTTCCCTCTTGTGGAATGAATTATGTTGTGTTGAATTGTATCCCGGTTGTTGGAAACATCTAGAACATTAGATAACGTGGACGCTTGTATTTGTAATGTTTGTGAATGAGTTTGAAAGCTAGGATAAGGTATAATATTAGAGATAATGTAAATAAATTTATGATAAAATAAAGACACATATGTACTAATTAGTAATCTAATAATAGGAAAAATATGGACATGTTTATGATGCGTGTTAACAACATTGAAAGTTGTGGAATTTTGATTTTTATGTTGATTTGAAGTAGGGGAAGTATATGGTAGGTTTACAATTGCTCATTGCTTACTTTAACGGTTAATATATTGGGAAAATAAAATTGTGGTTATATGATTTAAAATGTGGAGATAAATATAATACTAAAGAAATTAAGAATAATATACCATGACCGATGATTTCTAAAAGGGGGCAACCTTGACGGAATAAATGTAGGTTCAACATTCAGGTGTATGATGTTATGAGACGAGGATTCTGAAGGTAATTCGGTAAAGTTTCGAGCAAATCAACAATTAGTGGGTATGAAGAAATTATTTTCTGAAATGAAAATTTGTATCACAAAGGAGCGAAATATATAAATAAAATATAAGAATTCAAAACAAAAGCAAATACAAAAAACAAAAATGCACTACAAAAGAGGCATAACATATAAAAAAATGTATATTTGTGGGAAATTCTTTGTATTGTTGGATATGATTGTGTTTTTAGAGCACTGGATGACGAGGATGCACACACTAAAGAAAAATAGTATATATCAAACATTAAATACGATATTAAAGGAAAAAATGACTTATACAAATTGAACATTATAGACATATATGTATTAAAAATTAATGATAGTAGTTAATATACTAGGAAATTAAAATTGATGTTATATGATTTAAGATGTGGAGGTAAATCTAATATAAAAGAAATTAAGAATAATTTACCTTGATTGATTATTTGTAAGAGTGGCGGCCTTGACGAAATAAATGTGGATTGCAGATTCGGGTTTATGAAGTTATGAGACGGGGATGCTGAAGGCGGTAAGGTTTTGAGTAACTCGACAATTAGATGGTATGAAGAAATTGTTTTCTGAAATTAAAATTTGTATCGTAAATGGTGGAAATATATTAAAAAAATTAAAATTACAATACATAAGCAAATATAAAAAACGAAAATGTAATTAAAAAAAAGAGAGGCATAATATATAAGAAAATGTACCTTTGTGGGATATTCTTTGAATTGCTGAATGTGATGGTGTTTTTAAAGCATTTGATGAAGAGGATGCATCCACTAAAGAACAATAGTATATATCAAACACTCAATACAAATTGAACATTATAGACATTTAATCACTAAAAATATAACTATAATACTTAAACATGAATTTTACCATTTGTGATGTCAGACAATTTTGTGATGTCAGACAGTGGTGTGGTTGGGGAAGAGTTTTTTGGTAAAACATTACTAACAAGACTTTTAGGTTTTTATTCTTTCTCGAAGCATATGAAACGTCACTCATTTCAATATGTTTGATTTGGTGTTATGTATATATATATATATATATATATATAATATATATATATATATATATATATATATATATATTGTAACATTTCGTTTAAAATAAAATAAAATAAAATAGGTAAATAAATAAATAATAAGCCCTAAAACTCCAAGACGTATTTTATATTTTATTTTATTTTAGCCCTAAACCCATGTACACAGAAATTGGGGTCTAAATTGTAATATTAGGACTTGGAGTGGTTTTGATATGTTTTGGCCTAAAATCATAACCACCACCACCGTGAGGTGGTGGCTGCCGCCACGGACAGCCGCCGACCACCACTGCCTGAGGTGGCAATGGGTGGTGCCCGATTTGTTAAATATATATTTATTTAATTAACTAACCAGTTAATTTTAGGAGTTGGAAACCCTAATGTCAAGAAAGCCTAGTTTTTGGAGTTGGTCGGGACCCGCGTTAAAGCTGTTAATTAAACTTTAAATAATACTTAATAATACCCCTACAATTAACTTAATGGATTAAGTCCTTATGGGGGGTTAAGTGTGGAACACTAACCCTAGTTGTCATTTTATGTGAAAAACCCTAGAATCAGGGAGCTCTATTTGGACAATGATCGGGCACGTATTTGGGTTGTTGATTAGATTATTATTTCACACGAGAACGACTAAGTCAAACCTTAATAAGTCATACCCTTAAGTGATTAAGTCCTTAATGGGTTAAGTGTTCTTACTTAACCCTAATCGTCATTTCATGTGGGGTAGTCACTGTTGCAAGTGACTATAACCTGTGATCGGGTATTGACTCAAGTATCTTCCTGTAGGTGATTGGAAGTGAGTTGAAGCTGGTAGAGTTCTTCGTCGTTACAGTGGTTACCTACACGCACATCGAGTTGAGTTTCGCCTCACTGTACCTGTGAGTCGAAGGCACCAACGCCGACCCACTAGTTTTGGTTATCTGTTAGTGGAAGGATGCCCTAGGGACTGTATGTAGTCATGTAGGATAGACCGATGACTCTTGATCTAAGCTCTCTTTCATGTTCCTTGTTTGGTTATGGTTCTAGAGTATGATCACCTGTCTGGGTGACTATCTCACCTCTGAGTATATACTGTCATGCATTCCTTGGATTGTTGATATTGAGTATGCTGCTATGTTGTAGTGATCTATTAGATATGTGTTCTGGTATTGAGTATGCTGCTATGATGTAGTGATCTGTTAGATCTGTCTCCTGGTATTGAGTATGTTGCTTTGTGGTAACAACCTGTAGAACTGTATGTTATATGTTCTTGTTGGTTATCATCCATGGAGTGCCCTTAGGGACTGTCTGTGGTCATGTAGGATGGCCTGAGAACTCTTGGTCTAGGCTCTCTTGCATGTACCTTGTTTGGTTGTGGCTTTAGAATAGTATCATCTGTCCGGGTGGCTATCTCAGCTTTGGTTACTTAAGGTTACGTATTCTATGGAGGTTGGCTGGTAGCAGGATTATATGTTGCGAGAAGACTAGTAGGCAGTAGTGAGCTGTATGATTGATGTTTTCCTGTATTATGTGCTTACTTGATCATGATTGTTTATATGTCGACATATTGCGTTTGGTTTGGGTTTAGGCGATCCTGCTTTGTGCGGTAGGACAAGATACCCGGTGCGGGCCGGCTGTAAGCCGTAGGTATGAAGGCCCGGGAAGATCGGTAGGGTTGAGGCGGTAGGCCAACAAACCCTAGGTATTCCAGCCCGATGGCTTATTGGACCTGTTGTATTTTGGCATTCCAACCTAGGGTATTCCATCCCGAGGATGACTGGACCCGGAGGTTGACTGGGCCTGGGGTATTCCAACCCGATGGTTGACTGGACCCGACATGTTTGATTGTATATGTGATCTGTTTATATAGTGGTATTTTGGGGGAAACTCACTAAGCTTTATGCTTACCCACTTGTTTATGGTTTCAGGTATCATTAGTTATTGCTGGAGGCGAAGGCGGGACTGTACACACTCATCAGTAACAGTGAAGATTCTGCGTTTCTGCAATACTCTGATTTTTAATAAATGTAATTCAGAATAAATGGTTTTCTTAATTAATGGGTTGATAAATTGGAAAGTTTAACATTAATAAAAATGAAAAATTTTGGTTGTGAAAATGGGACGTTACATATATATATATATATATATATATATATATATCTATATATATATATATATATATATATATATATATATATATATATATTGATGATTTAAAATTTTTAAATAAGGGAATTAAATATTAGAAGAGTTTAAATTAGGTAAAAAATAAATGTTGCATACAATTATGGAGGGAATAAATACAATGTATAAAAATAGATTTAAAATACATATACTAAGCTTTTATTCTGTTACCATATGCAAATGATAAATATTTATGAAAATAAAATTTAAATTTCATTTTGACGAATAAAAGAATGTGAAATAGCTGATGTAATAAAAATAAAGTGGTTTTGGAAATGAAATTTGTAAACTTACAATTTTTGAAGACATGTGATAAGATACGCGACAAAGACGTTGACACCATATATGCATCGATTTGTATGTGACAACGTGATACAAGTACCATGTTGCAATGATTAACAATTTATGTCCAAAATGATAAAAGAAAAATATTATAATTTAGTAATTCAAATGACTTAGCCGATAATACATTAAACATGCATAGATTTTAAGTCAACTTGTAGGCATACGACATATGGTATGCTTCATGTACAGAAAATAAATGTTATAAAATCAAATCATGAATGAAAGTAAAAGAAATAAAATATTCATTAACACAAAATAATTCAATAAGATGAAATTGTCATAAATAACACGAATAACATCGTGTTCAAACCAAATAACAACCAAACCAAATTTCAAAAACAAGTAAAAGACTTGACCAAAAAATCCGTAAACCAACAATTAAAAGTGCGACACACAAAAAGAAAACATCTGTAAATATCTTTAAGATGAAATGTAAAATGTTGATGGGTGGCTTTATATTACTCCAACTTTTCCATTTTTGGGATCTTCAAGGTATCAGGAACAACACCACCTTTCGAAAAAGACCACTCCAAAGAGTCAGTGGTGGCAACAATCTCAATAGGACGCTTCCTCGCACTGGATGATGGTATTAAAGCTTCAAGATCAACAACCTCAAGATTGTCATCATGGACCGAAACAATATTTTCCTGAACAGAACACATAAAAGGATAGAAGTCTGATCAAAATAAAATATAAAAAACATAGCAAATTTGTACAAATACATGAAAATCAGAAATTAAATTGAAATATATTTTTGATAGGAGTAATATGTTCAGAAGAATGTTCCATAGTACCTTGCAATTAAAAAAAAACTTGCAATGTTATTTCAATTTAATTCCTGATTTTCATGTATTTGTAGGTTCAATTTAAAAGTGCAATGCTATTTCATGCATTGACATATTCCAGCAAACGACAAAAACAACAACAAACCAATGGTTGAGAAAGTGGTAAGTTTCGTTACAAACATGACTTTTTTTTAATTTAATCATTCAATAATACGCGAATTGATAGCAATGTACTTTGAAAGTATATTGTTATAAGTTATAAAACTGTTTTTTTAATAAATGACAAACAGTATTTAGATATGGTTGATGTTTTTTCAAAAGTAATAAAAGTAAATAGAAATGTACTTTGAAAGTACATTGCTATAAGTTGTGAAGTTGTAAAGCTTTTTTCTTAAGTAATATAATTTATAGCAATGTACTTTCAAAGTACATTGTTATATAGTAACCTGTTGCTTTTTCAAAGTTAATAGAAATTGTCCCTATTAACATATTAAAAGTAAATAACAATGTATACTGATAGCATTTATAAAAATTTAATAACAACATATTTGAAGTTTTATGAAAGGGGTAAAATGGTCATTTAGTGAAAAAAACATATGTCATGAAATAGAAAGTGATATGACCATTTTACCCCGATTAGATACGAAACTACTAGTGATTGTTGTTATTAGAAAAAAAAATTGGAAAAAATGAAAGGGGTAAAATGGTAATTTATGTTCAATATATATTATGATTTACAACAGCAAAATTGAAGTTTTATTATTTACAATAATGTACTTTGAGAGTACATTGCTATAAGCTATAAAACAGTGTTTTCTTTTTAAAATAAATGAAAGAAATATATATTAAAAAGAGGGTCATGGGGTTTGACTTTGGGAAAATTCGTAAAAGTCAAAAGTATGTTGTTGTAATTGGAGTTTTCGTTGACACTTAAAAAACCATAGTTATATGAGACAGTTCCCCACCTTATTTGGCTTTTAATATGAGTACCATCATCATTGAGAATATGTTTTTCATGAGCTGGTGACCGTTTGAAAACCTCAGCAAGTACCCTTTCATCATTAGTCAACTTATGCACATTGTAAGCACGATAGTTGTTCTGCAGATTGAACATGGAGATTTGAACTTTGAAGACAAACTTCTTATTGAGATGGATTTTGAACTCACCAGGGATATTTTGACGTCCTTGATCCTAATTTACGTTACAAGGAAATATTGGAAAAGTTAAAAAAGGAAAATTCATATATGTCAATTATTCAAATAATGGAGATATATTATCAAACCTTAGATATTTTTTCCATCAACCATTGTTTTTCGCGATGAATCAAATCTTTTATATGTCGTTCAAACAATACAAATGAAAAAGACCTACTTTCATCTTGCACACGAACTACGATCATGATCCTAAAAAATATAACATAATACTTATATTTACCTTGCTATACACAACGAAATATATGAAAAAGGTTAAATGCACGCATAGTTCAAGAGTAAAGAATATACTTCCCATATACATCTGAAACTCCTCCACAACCATCACAGTGAAAAGGTCCAACAACACTACCATCATCATTTTTAGTAACTTTTTAGGAACAATCACGACAATAACATGAA